GATAGCATTATACATAAATACACAATAAAATGATAGGTTTGCAACTAGTTATACTAGTAGATAGCGAAACCTGCAATCCATAATTTTCTCACATGTGAATACCTGTTTGAATATAGCACTGTATATAGTATTGTTAAGCGAACAAGCATTATTCCTTAAAATAATTAATTAAATCTTATTTACAATCTTTTATTAGGACACTGTCCAATTTTCACAAAAGATGACTATCTGCATTGGATGACATGTAATACTACTGGCTGTCCTGATACTGCCTTCAGGAGTGACGAAGTTTACAAATGTAAGAAAACCCGCAGTGTGTTGGATGGCATATCAAATTGCAATATTTATAAATGAAAGCATCTTAATTTTGATGTACGATATTGAAAAGAAATTTAAATAACTGATAAGAAAATATGAATTCTTAATATTTTTTTTTTCTTAGATCCAGTCTGTTATGGATATATCGATGAGAAAAACAATGCTCTTGGAAATCGACAATTAAGGTATTTCTTTATTTCACATTCATGTCAATCAAATTGTTAATTCAAACCACAAATTTCGACCTATTTATATGCAGTATTGACATGCATAATTTATTTCAATTTATCTTCTTATTATTTTACTGGTACAAAATTACTGCTATACTGAAATACATGTATCTACTTACTATAATGATACCATGACAATTTCTACAGTAAAATATATGGCACTGAAGTTTTAACTACGAGAAACTTTGATTGAGTGATGGTTCAACAGTGTAACTCTAGTTTAAAATATTACCCCCTTTTTATTTCATAAGGATTAAATTTTCTGCAGTGCATTTGTCTGAAATCGTATAAGGCTACGTCTAGTACAAATCTAGTACAAATACAAGTGTCATATTTTACATTCATATAAGGACCAGTCCTAAAGTAACTTCAAAATGTTACAATATTTTCACTAATACAAAGTCAATTGAATCTCAATATCTGACTTTCGACAGAGAACCGTAATTTTCCTAAGATTTTTTTTTACATTACGTTTTACAATATAAAAAAATAAATATAAACTTGTATCATGTCTGTAATCAAAGCACAAATTTACAACAAATTTATGGAGGTTTGTCATGATGGCCATTTTCAATTCATTCAAAGATCCAACGTACCTCTATACGTGTATAATATCTTTTATGCGCTTTGCTTCTGTGAATTATTTATATACCAATTAGAGCTAATAGCAAAAAGGTATATGTCACTTGGACATGTGAGATACGTTTAAGTTATTAAACTTTTTTTCCAAAAATCAATAATAATTATAATAATAATAACACAATAAAAAAGGAAAATTTACATGCACGTTTACTTTTAATGATTTAAAGTGCTTATACATGTAAGAACAAAATGAAAACAAATCTCTTTAAAAATTTTATAAGAAATATAATTTACATATCTGTGCCATTTTTTCTTTTCTTTTTTCCAAATTTGATTTACCACAAATCCTTTTTAAATTTAACATAACTTTGTTTTTTTCTTTTGAAGCGAGGATAACACCCTTTCTTTAAAAATTGGCATACCGATAGGGTTAATTGTTGTCTTATTGGTTATCATCATCATGGTCATAGTAGTAATGAAAAAAGAGACGAATAACGCTGCCTTGTGAGTATTATTTTAATTCACATGTATGTTATTTTAGATATGATCTTGTTTCTAAATTCTAAAATAAAAAAAACTGCAACATCATATCCCACTTTAGTTTCATTTGACTAAGCTGTTAAAGATATCAGCATGGAAGATAACTTACTAGAAAATTACAATAATTGGCTGTTTCCGTTCTTTTTCTTCGCAAAAGTTACACATCTTGAAATAAAATCTGGTATATAGATTAAAGATGACGTTTACTCAGATATAAAGGCTACATACTTGTAAATGTTTAAAACATTATTTTGCAAATATTATATTTGTTAAAGCTTATAAATTATTTCAAATACCGGGGTAATGGAATGCTATGAAAAAAACAGAAATTCAAAAATATGAACAAAAACAATTCCAGACAGATATCTAATAATTTGACATAATCTGCCTGAACCATACTTGCATGGATGATGCATCTAGAAAATGGAACACCACCAGACTTGCTTCGGATGCTGGATCTGACCTATATTTGCATTTCCCAAGTAACTATAAGCCCTGCGTGAACCAAATTTGCATGAATGATGCATCTAGAGATGGACACTATCAGACTTGCTTCGGATTCTGGATCTAACCCATATTTTCATTCCAAAGTAACTATAAGCCCTACCTGAACCAAACTTGCATGGGTGATGCAACTAGGGATGGACACTTTCAGACTTGCCTCAGATGCTGGATCTGACCTATATTTTCATTCCCCAAATAACTATATGCCCTGCCTGAACCATACTTGCATGGATGATGCATCTAGTGATGGACACCACCACACTTGCTTCGAATGCTGGATCTGACCTACATTTTTATTCCTTAGTAACTATAACCCCTACCTCAACCAAACTGATCAAATATTATGCACATACGAATTTTCATGTTGCTTTACTAATATATCCTTGGCGGGGCATTCATGTCCTATGGACATATTTCTAGTCAGATTTAGATTTGATTCATATTAAGACACAATTGTAAATTAAAAAATTTCCATTTTTTATAATAGTACATATTTTTTTTTTAATTTATTTTTGTTCTTGCAATTGAATTATCAAATGTGATCCATTTAATATGCATAATACAATTAAATGGATGTAAATATTTTCTCTAGGTTTCTCCAGATTCGGGAGGAACAACGATCCAGTCAATGATCATCGTCAATCAGAAAAACTAATTAAAAAAGATGAAGAAGATAAACGTAAGTGTAGCAATCCCATATTATTTTTTCTTCCATTTACATTTTTGGTTCAAAGAAAGCGAATTTTCTTTTTCTTGATATAAATAGCATACGAGGGCCGTTCAAAAATTACGCGGACTTGTTACACAGATCGAAGAAATATTTGACGACATAGTCGGGCAAAATTTCACAAATTATTTAAAAGAATCTTTACTTATATTGTCTATAAAATTTCATATCAAAATATTTTAAATTGGTATTAATTTTGAGTGATTTTTCAGGACATACCATTAAGTCACGGCGCAGCAAAATCTTCGATTGCGCCGTACCTCTCCATCAACGATATCAACATACCGATAATTTTAGTAGAATTTAAAATACAGACATTTTGCCTTAAATTTATTGGAATCTTTAAGATACATATTTTTGTGAAATTTCATAACTATATGACGTCTCTAAGAGTAAATAATAGCACAGTCTGCATAATTTTTGAACGGCCCTCAGACTATCGATAATAAAAGCATGCATTAAACACTAAATTGTCGATTTTTCCGTCATGTCCCAGTCATGACAAGAGGCACAAGGCGAGTCTGACCGTTTGAAAGGGGATGCTTACTCCTCCATGGCATCTGATCCCAGCTCTGACGTTTTGGAGGTCCACATTTGCTCTGCTCATATTTTGTATTGTTTAATGGACTTTAAAGCTTAAATGCTGTTCGTTATCTCGATGTATTTCTTTTCAGCTGAGTACATTGATATTGGTGTTCGCCAACTGAATTCTAAAAAGGTAATTTATGTTATTGGACAGCTTGGAAATTCTGTTTCCTTTTGCTGGGAAATTAATAACCGGTGCATATAAAAATTATCCTAAAAGCGATGCATATGAAAATTGTACTACATGGAGTCCCAAATACTTTAATTACTTAGATTTTTCTGACAAGTTTTCCAAACTTTCCTTTGAAAAAGTTTTTAAACCTAAATCTGTGAATTTCATTGATGGATGGGGTGGACTATGGAATGAAAACCCATGCGAAAGGCAGGAAACTGTGGAAATTCTATCAGAAATTGTTAAGCAAGTGGAAACACATAAAGATATACGATTTGTAATTGGGCTTCGACAGAGATAAGAGATAATTTAAAAGGACATTTAGATAGGCTGGGATTCTAATCAAAGAGAATGAAAGACAGGTCCTAGATTCTAGCTCTGGCTACAAAATACGAACCATCGAAAAGGAAATAAAATCCCTTGAGAGTTCATGTTCAAATAAAAACTGTGATTGTAAAAATTTGTCCTTTGATCGAGTTTCGGAAATAAATTTTGTACCTATCGGAACATATCTAGTCGTAAAGCTAATGAGACTGGATCACAAAATGATACCAGATTTTTTCAAAAAGGATGTAGGGCCACTGGAAGCAGTTCGAAATCATTTTGAAGAGCTGATGGAAGGTGAAAGAATCTGGAATTGGCTCCCATATATCGTTTGTGTGGGCTATCATGACAAAACGGAAATTAGACAAGAAATAGCAAGTGCATTTGACATTCCAAAGAGCACACTGTCCAATTGTAAAAATATTAATGAATACACAAAGACAGTGGACAAAAATGAACTCGCTCCGATGTGGTCACATAAAAAGAATCTAGTTAAAACTGAAGACAACAAGAGAGAAGGAAACGTGATCGTGTTTTGGCATAACTTTCTTTATATATGCGCCTTTCATGCATGCTACAAAAAGTATCCCCAGAAGATAATGCGACATTGCAATCTTGATGCAATCCTGCAATTGGTTCGCCCTAAGAATCAGTCTGAAGCTCTCACCATTGAGGCAAGCAATGAAGAAGTAGACCTGTTTTGCGAAGAAAGATTAAGTAAATTTGGGAATGACAGCCTCTTTTTGGAACATCCGTTATTTCAAGATGGGCAAAACGGAAAGGAGAAATACACAGAACATCTTGAGCTTTCCGAGCTTAATTGGCAGAGAACTAATGCTTATGTGACTGCAAACTGTAAGTAGATTATATCATCCCGAAAAAAATATTGTTGTTTATTCCCTAAGAGCACATTTTATACTTATTTTTAAAGGGGAGTTTTCGACCAATGCATGTAGTCATCAATAAGTCAAAATGAGAAAATTTCACAACAATGTGCACAAGTATGAGAAAATAACCCAATGATCATTTATAACAGAATGTTTCCCCTGAACTAAAGGATTTCAGTCAAAGTAATATCAAGCTGTGCATATAATAAAACTTTCAATGATGACAGTTTGGCAACAATAAATCATATATGCTCAAATATTACTTAGTGTTATGTGTATCATTTTTTTGTGTAATCCACTTTGTGTAATTTTTTCAGAGACCTATCATGAGACATAGGGATCCCATATGCATAAACATGATTTTTTTTTTTAAGTATTGCATACTAACAGTAACTACGCAGGTTATGATGACATTTACTTATTTTGAGGCTATTAAATTTCAATGTTTTGTTATCATTAGGCCTAAGAATTTATTTACTGTTTATTCATATTAGAACTCCTTTAGCAGGAGTCACCTAGACGACTTCATTAATCAACCGCCATAAAAAATATAATTATGGATATTATACATGCATGAATCTTTCCGTATATCATTCATGATAACCATTACCCTTGCGGGAAGGGCGGGGCCACAATAGCTGATCAAAACCGAACATATGAAAACGTTAAAAAAACTTTGAAAAATTTTCTTCTCAAGATCAGAAAAGCCATGAATGGTGATATTGATATGGAAACATCCTCAGTTATAGTAAGTTTAAGTTTGTTCATATCATGACTCCAGGGGGTAGGTTAGGGTCATACTTGACAATCAAAGATTTACATAGAAATACATAGTAACAATATTTTAAAATCTTCTCAAGAATACAGGCAATGCCATGGCATGATTAGTAATATTTATATGGAAGCATATTCAGGCAGTATATAGTTTCAAGATTGTTAAAATCAGAATTCTTGGGGGTAGGGTAGGGACACAATGTGCGATCCAATTTAACTTAGGAAAATATACGAAGATATTCTAATTTAAGGGTGTGGCCACAATAAAATCAAAATTTTGCATCAGAATATATAGGAAAAAATCTTCTCCAGAACAGAAAAGTTTTGTTTAGTCAAATTGACATTTAAGGTACATTGATACTCTGATAAGAGAGATAACTCTTTATGACAAAAATGTCTATTTTTCCTTAAGTTATAAATTTGTCAAGTTTAAGTTCCTTTTTGTCATATTTTTACCCGTAATCCATGCTATATTTGTTTGTATTTTATTCAGCACATAAATTTCCTTGCAAATTATAAAGTTAAATAAAAATTTCATATGAGTGTTTTAGTATCCAACGAAATGTTAAATTAGCACAGTACTATCACACTGGGTGTAAAAAATGTTTTTGGAAACTAATTATAAATGTCTGTATATGAAACTATATTTCATTTTAAAACATGATACATGATTGATCAATTTTGTAATTTGTTGGAAATACTTAAGTTATTGTAAAAAGTAATATCCATGTACTTGTTCGACTGATAGTCATGATCACCGCATCTGCTTATATTGGTAACCACCAATATTTAAATTATCAAGTGTGATACCATTAATAATGTTACAACATAGCACTTCCATCCAGATTGAAAATATACCACACAATTCAAGTGTGCATTATTGTACGTATTTTGTTACAATTAATAATGTTTATAATTAATAATGAATTATGTTTCCACTTGAAAATGTTTAAAAATCTTCAAGTTCAACATCGAAAAATTATTTAATACCTACATGAATACAGAATCTTTGACGTATTATTGTAGAGATGTCTTTAATCTAAAATGATCCTATTATTAGCTACAAATCCCCTTTATCTTTCATGATCTGAGATTTTATGTGAAAAAAAAAAATAGAATTTCACAATGATCATCTAAAAAAAGTTTAACCGATAATGTGAAAACAAACATGTGACATTACTTTCTTCTTGTCAAAGTCTTTTTTTATTAAGTGATGATTTTTTAGCCTCCTCCAATTACAATTTTCCCCATTGATATTTGAAAGATAATATATTTATTGATCATTGATCTTCATAATAACAGTTTACAATGTATCATTTCTAGCCTATAAAACGACGTTTAAATGTTCATGTGTAAGATGCTATGTTGTGTGAGTTTGTTTCATGGTTCAGAAAATGTTAGCATTGTCAAAGGTTATTCAAACGTATCTCCATCTATTTTGCTAGTTTTTTCAGCTTAAAAGACATGTAAGTGTCATTTTATTTGTTGTTTGTGAAATAAATTTCTTAAAATGTTTGTGCTCTATGTTTATATTTGTGAAAAAAAGTTTCAAATAAATTTTCTTGGGAAATGCCTCAGCAAATAAAAATAAAAATGAAAACTTCGATGGACATAAAGACTTAAAAGCACATTGTCTGAAAGTTTGAAATTCTCCTCGTTAGAATCTGTCTTTTGTGATTTATAAAGCTACATCAGTTTTACTTCGGTAATTGTGTGTGTGCTTATTTGAGAAACAGAGAGATGAATTATTGGTGAACATATAAAACAGATTACGATTTTTCTTATGAGTCGGTAAGTCAGTGTCAATGAGAACATTGTACTTTAAGGCTTCATTTATAATTGAAAAAAAAATGAGCAGCATAATTAATGGCATGCTAAAACTTGTATTAATTGATTGATTGTATATTATTTAACGTTCGTCTCGAGAATTTTTTACTCATATGGAGTCGCCACCACATTCCGGTAGAGAGCTGCAATACACTAATGCGACACGGGACCTCGGTTTATAAGGTCTCGTTCGAAGGACCGATCTCCTCGTCCCAAAATTCGCACCTCGAGAAAAAAAAATATAGAAAAATTTCAAAGGGGTTTTACAACGTTTTTAGGTGGTTTTACTACATTGTAACTATAAAGAACTAACAAGGCTTTTAAGAAAAGTTTCACGCATCTCATTTCAAAAATTGTACATTGCCTTCTAAAGGATTGTTACTTTGTATTCTTTTTAAGAAATTGTATAAAGTATTCTAGAGTATTGTTTGTAACTAGAATTTTGAAACTATCCTTTAGAGAGATATTTCTTCATTGTTTAGCTCTTTCGCAATATTATAAGTAGCTTTTTTGAACATATTTACTGTTTCATTATCTTTTCACGGGAATAACAATCTAGAGCAAAAAATATTAAAGTTTAGCTCTTTCCAAGGAAATGATAGTATTTTCTAGCGGAATTAATATTACTCCATAAAATCTGTTCCGGGGTTTAGTTTATATTTCCGATTTTTTTTAATTTGAAAACTTTTTAGTACGTTTAATTATTCGAAGAGACCTTGAGGTGTTTTAAAATCATCATAAATTGGTCTGAAATCACTAATCAAATGTTTGGGGAAAATTCAAATTAAAAAATTTCAAGGGATAGTATATTTAAAAATACAAAAAAATAATCAAAAATTAACATAAAAGAAAAAAAACAAAATCAAATACGAGGGTCATTCAAAAAATACGCAGATAATCTTCCTCATCGTCATATTATTATTACAAGATTATAGAACAACATATTTTCGTACATGTAAATAAAAACATTTATTTGTCGATGTGTGAATTTTCATTCCATTTGATTAAATTGAACTCATGCCAGCCAATTTTTAAAGCAACACATTTTGTTACCATGGAGCACGGTTAACCAACATTGTAACGTCAAAACAACGTTGAGAAAGTTTCTCAAAATTAGTCGGCTTTTAAATTTCATTCACAGTTTGTAGGATCTTCTCTATTCATAAAAACATATCCATATTTACACCTAGTTTGCTAAAAATTGTGCAAATAGCTTGAACTAGATTTTCATTGTTTTCAAATTCCTTAGGCCTACCGCGGAACTGTATTATTTCCGCAGCAGAAAAGCGCACATCACGTTTAATGACGTTCCTAATTCTTTTGACAAGATTTTCAACTATAACCTGTTTCTTTGCAGACCACCCATCTTCCGATTTAAACTCGCTACAACTCAAAAATTGTATTTTCCATTTTATACAAATACACGGCTTATTTTCATCCATTTCTTGGTTTAAGCAGATTTTTTTAGGTGTGTTAAAGATGTTTCTCGAATGGAAAACAAAATTTGATTGCTACTCGCTGCTCCTTGACAACCTCTAACGTCACTTTTTTTTTTGTTGTTGTTGTTTTTTTTAATCAAGTCCATATGTATTTAGAGACTGATACCTTTTGACTGATTACACTACTTGATATAGCATCTTAAAAAGT